CTTAAGAAGTTGAGTATATAAAATTATGTAAATGAGATGTTGAGTTTGCTGCCACCTTCAGGATATCTCGGTCTTTTGGCTAAAAAAACGAGGTAAGAACTTCCTTAAAAATGCTAAGGTCTTATCTCCAAGTAGATAAGATGTGGAGTGAAACTACTGTTAACAGACCTGATTACTAATCAGGGCTAGGTTTAGTCACAAATGGATAAGACATATGGATTTAATTAATATGTATTCAGATCTGATATCAAGGACTTGGCAAATGGTCCTTGGTCAACATCTGCTTCTTGCAAATTTATGAATGACTTGCTGTAAGTGTCACAGCTTCTATTTTGTTATGGTCCCTCATAGTTCCTTTCCCCAACCTCTGCTTCTGCCCAAATATCTCTTTCTTTTTTAAAGATTTATTTAGTTTTATACAAGAGTTGGGGTACAGGCCAGAGGCACGGGAGGGAGGATTCACCAGAGACAGAGCGGGGAACAGAACAGGGAGATGGACCAAAAACATTGCTGAGGGGACCAGCAGGTGCCACAGGAGAGGTCTGCCGCGCCATGTGGGAATCTCCCTGGCTGGCCGGGAATCGAACCTGCACTGCAGAGGCTGCGAACAGCTTCACAGCGCTGCGTTCAACCCTCTGCACCAACGGAGAGGCCCTGCCCAAATATCTTAATTGTGATTTCAGAGAAGGCAGAAAGTAGATTTTTGTCCTTGCATGTTTCTTCTAGCAGAATCTTTTAGTCTGGACCAAGATGTAAATGAATTACAATATAAGGCATTTCTATGATGATGTTGATGATGAATGGAGAGGGAGTGACTCCCCCCACCCTCACCCCACCAGTTTTAATGGCAGTCCTTTGTTTTTCCCTGTGATGTGGAGCATCCCTGGCTGCAGCCTGCTGCGAACAAAGAAAACGGTATTCTGTAGAGGGCTGAAGGCAAATCGTATACCTGCATAACCTTTTCAGCTAGACAAAGAATGGTGTCTCCCCTGTGCCCCTCTTTCCACAGAAAACTGCTCCAGGGTGACAGCACAAACACATCCTAATTAAATCTTTCCTCAGATTCAGACATATTTTCCTCCAACCTTTTCTTGGGTTTATATGTGTAATTAAGAGGAAGAGCGAGAAACAAAATCAGGCATGTATAAGATGCCGCTGGGAATTGGAGTTATTTAATGCAAAACTAGAATCTCCACCTTTTGCCCCCTTAAACAGGGTGAGAGATATAGTAAATTGAAGGAGGAATTAAGATGCTTTTGATGAAAAATTGGCTATAATTATATAAGGATATTTTCTTGGACTTTTTGAGTTTCTTGTGTTTTCATCTTTTTGTCTCTGAATAAGATTATTTCAATGCTTTCCAGTCAATATTAAAAGATAACACACGTAGGGTACCTAGCTCTGCTCTGGAAGGCGTGAACACATCCTCACAATGAATATGCAAAATTTGGGCCTTTGCTACTTCTCTGAATAGAGAGTTCCATCAATTTTATCATGTCTCCAGAGACTTCAATACATACCCTCTCCTCTAAAGTTTAAGAACCACCGGTATTAGAGAAGGATCTAGACAGAGATAAAATTTGGTGGGATAGACATATTTGGAAGCCAAGCGGGTAGAGCCTATGAAAGAGAAGAATGGAGGCCCCAGGTCATTCCATGGAAGGCAGAAGTGGTTAAGCTTGTGCTCTGGAATCAGACACCTCAGAGCTTAGAGCTCATTTATTAACTGTACAGGTTGCGTCACATGGGACAAGTCACCTCTGAACCTCAGTTGTCAGTTTTATCATATACAAAATGAGATGATAGAACATACCTCATAGAATTGTTGCAAAGACTGAGACCATACATGTGTACGTGTCCCTTTGTGTGTGTGTGTGTTTGTGTGCTCTTTTTCCACATGCATTTTGCATTTTCCTGTCCATCATACACCTTCTTCTAGGTCCATTCTCCTGCGCAGGCCTCAGTCGTCTCTGAGTTCTGATCCCCTGTTTTTTACTGCATTTTTAAGAAAAATGATTAGATTGAGGTATATGCTTGTCTAAATATCTTCCTTCCAGTTTCTCTGGCATCTGTTAGCTGGCCTGGCTGAGAGCAGCATACTTGCACTTTCCAAGCTGTGTAGGAAGCAGTAGAAACTCGGAGCCTGGAGCCAAGTGAGCAGCAGCCTACTTTGGGAAGGAGAGACCAAATGCCCAAAGGAGGGGAGAGCCTGTCCTTCTCTGAGCCCCAGATAGCAGCCGCCTCAGGCTGCCTCTATGCCCTAGTTCCTTTTGTAATTTGCACAACAGACCAGAAGATGGGGCTCTTGACCCTGGAGTCAAGGGCCAGAGGTTCTGACTCTTCCTCGTTGGAGCTGAGGAAAATCAGACTCACCAGCACTCCTAGGAGCCCCTACATCCTCATTCCTGCCCCTGCCCTGTGCACGCATGCCCTCTGCAACACTGGGAGTCGTCTTTCAGGGCAGCGGGGAATTTGGGGCTCATCTTCCCTTTGGACACCATTCTTGGCCCCTCCTGAATTACCTCGTTGCCAGAGCCAGACTAACTGACCCTTAACTAACTGCGTCGGACCTCCCCCTCTAAGCCGTCCTGCCCCAAATGGCAGATTTTGGCAGGGCACCCCACTTATATAAGACAGTGCTGCATACTGGCCGAGAACTCTAGGATTAGTTAGATTCATCCTTGACTCCTCTCATCAGGCAAGGCTCTCCTCACTTCCGTGAGCACCCCAGAGCAATTCTACCACAGGATCTCGTTTACTTCACAGCAACTGTTATAGCCTGTGCTTACCTTGTTTACTGTGACTGTTTACTCATGACTTGTAAGACTCAGTTTGTCTTATTGCTATTTACCCAACACCCCCTACAGACCTGAACCCAAAGTTTTTCAGTAAACATGTTTTGAATTAATAAATGACTGAATCTCAGTTTAATGACTGCTTGACTCTGAGACAACTGCGAAACTTCTTCAACCTCAGTTTTCTTACCAATGAAGTGGAGAAATAATGGAAATGGTCCGAATGATAAATGACACACTGTACCTGCACCAGTAAACCTGGGGCCCAGAGCAGAAAAGGATCTGAAACCTTCACCCATGTCCCGCTTTCTAGCAGATGATAGAAAAATATGATCTTCCTACGGTGACAAAATAGTCTGAACTAATTAGCCAGCTCATCATAATCTGGCCAGAGCTTTAGTTTACCACAATTTTTACTGTTTACTGTTCTCTATAATTTTCTGCTTTTGCCCAAATCGTGGCTGCTCTGAATGGGCCACATACATCCATATCCATATTTTGCCCAAGCGTTGAGATGCTTACTTTCCTTATCTGGGCTCAACTATTTTCAGATTTTGCTCAAATCCAAGTCCTCTGTGTCATGTTCTTAAAGTGCTCAAAAACATAAAAACCATTTTCTCTTCTGAATTTTTATAATTTTGTTGTCTATATTACTCATATGACTAATTCTTTTGTCATAAGGAGGATTTAATCATATAATCCATTTCCCAGGTTAGATTGTAAGAACCTGGGAGATAAATATTATGTTTCAGATTTCTCTGCATCTTCAGAGCCATTTGGGCTGGAAAATTGTAGGTGATCAATATGTTTTTGATAGATTGAATTAAAAAAATATATTTGCTAGCTGCTTTCTATGTATCCAGCATTTGTTGAGGCTTTGTGAAATATATGAAGGGCATAAGAAACATAATTATTGCCTTCAAAAACATACCTTTGTAGTAAGCGAAAATCAATGTATAATTAAAGTACTTAATTCAACAACCACAACCTGGTAACTACTTCTATAAGAAACTAATACTATGAGGATTCAGAGGAAGGAGAGATGGCATCTCTTAAGGATGTTGGGGAAAATAGTTTATTGATAAGAGGTGGCTTTTGAGATTGACTTTGGAGGATGGTTAAGATTTTGGTGGGCTAAAATGAGGGTGAATTCCAGATTCAAGGGACAGAATTAGCGAGGATACCAATAGAGACTGTGTCAGTGAACATGGAGGCTCAGAAACAAGAGGAGGGGGTTACACAGGAGATTGGAAATATGGGAATATTTCAGGGATGCTGAAGCACAACCTTATTTAAAATTTCAGGGCCAGTGCAGCGGGTGGTATGCAGGGGCTGAGATCTGGACATGTGCATGACTATGTTCCTCAAGAGAAGCTTCTTTGGAGATTGCGAATTATTTGCAATGGTTCTTTACCCCTCGATTTTGTGGATTCACCTGCAGTCTGATGTGACAGTGAATACGACAGCAAAAGTCCCTTTTCTTCCTCTTGGGGCCAGAGGGCCTGGCTGGATGACGGCCAGCTTCTCTTCTCTTTTAAACCCAAATCAAATTGGATGCATTAATCAAGATTTTCTAGACTCGTCTTAGATCACTCATTCATCTCTTGTTAAATAATAACCTTAGCTCATTTCTTGGAAAAGTTGGATGTATTTTTGTGGAATTACTCCAGCAACCATCCTTAGCTCAACCCTGTGCCTTTCACAGCCTGACAGAAAGCTGCAAACAGAACACCTAAGTCCTGGGGAGTGTGCGGGGGCGAGACAGTTCACCGCCCGCCTGCATCTCTATAATCCTCTTCTATCTGGCCACTAGCTCAGAGATGAACAAGTGATTTTACAAGGTCCTTTCTTCTCCCCGCCAATGCCTTCCTTCTGCAATTCCAACGCACATTTCCCCATGATTTAAAATTTTTACTTCAGAAATAGAATCGATAACACGACACGCTCCCAGTCTTCAAGGGTCAGCCGCAGTCGCACACAGAAGCAGGATTTTCAATGTCTAGCCAGCAGTTGGAAGGACCTTCAAGTCCAGAGGCCCCTGAGGGCGGGAGGCGGTTTCCACGGCAACCGGCCCGGGAGCGGCCGGCTCGCGGCTCCCCCACCCCGCCTTGCGCGGTAGCCCGGGTACCGCCGGACCGCGTCCTCCCGTGCTCCGCGCGCTGATTGGCTGCCCGGGCGGCGCGTTGATTGGCTGCGACGACGCTCGCGGGCCGGTGGCCATGGAGGCGGCGGAGCTCGATGGGTGACCGTTGGCTGCGGGGCGGGGGTCGCGGCCGGGGCTGCTCGCTCTGACCCCAGCGGGGCGCGCGGGCGGCAGACGCTCGGCCTGGGCTCGCGGGGAGCCCCAGCTCGGCTCCGCCATGCGGGCAGGGGGCAGCGAGCCCGACGGCGTCCTCAGCTATCAGGTAGGGCCCCGCCTCCCGCCTCCCGCCCCACCCCGGGGCGCAGCCTCCGGCCTCGGCCCACCGCCTCCTCCCCGGCCTCGGAGTCGGGGCGCCGCGCGCCGCTCCCCGAGGGCCCCGCAGGCCGGCCCCGGACGCCAGGGGGCGCTTCGGGCGCTCGGGGATCGCGCCGGGGCTGTGCGGGGTTGACCTTGGGCGGAGCCCGCGAGCCCGCAGGTCGCTGCCGCATCCCCTGCGTTGTTGGGGCGCCCTGACGGCCGCGGGCGGGGACCTCTGTTCTCTGGGGCCCTCGCGGTTGGGGGTGGGGGGCCTGGTCTCTGGCCTCGCTGTGTCTTGCTGGATGCGGGGGGAAGATGGGCAGGAGCCTTGCCCTGATGGGGCAGGTTTCCTCTTTGTGTTTTTGTTTCTGGGGGTTTCTGATTCTTCGGTGACTCAGAGGAAGAGCTGGAAGGACTGGAGGCTGGGACCGGACCCCAGCTGGGGTGCTCAGCTTTGTGGCCCACCCTGCGCACCACTGCACAGACGTCAGGCTAGTCCTGGGCAGGGAAATGGAAATGGACTCAGGAAATGTTTGAGGGGTCAGGAACAGGTGTTTATTTAAGGCAGCCAAGAAATGGGTTTCAGGGACAACCCAGTCGCTAGGGTGGCTGACATAGGGACAAGCATTGGACTAGATGTCAGAGTTTTTAAGTTCAAGTCCTGCATCCATCTCCTAGGTTTCATGACCTTGAGTAAGTCACTTGTCTCTTTGAACCTCAGTTTCCCTGGCAGTGATATGGGAGTGACGCCATCTGCATGGCTTACCTGATAGGGTTGTTTTGAGAACTGAGTAAGATGGTGTTTGTGAAAGGACTTCGGAAAGAATATTTATTGTGTGACACCCAGCGTGTGAGGGGCAGCTGGTTGAATTCTCACTCCCCCTTTCCCATGCAGTCAGGTGGCATAGTTACTGCTCTGCTTTGAAGTAAATGGCTGCGAAGAGAATGATAGAGCTTCATAGGGAGGATGACAGGTCTTGGAAACAAGTCTACGCTGATGTCAGGAGTGGTTTCTATAAGGAGGCCGAGAACACATTCCTGAGTTTGGACCCAAATGGGTAGTGACACTGATTCTCTTCCCCCAGTTTGCTACTGGGAGCTCCACAATTCCTTCTTGCTTGCTCCATTAAAAAAGAACCATGTCTAAAATTTTAGAATATCTTTGCATGTCTGTTCTTCCTAAGGCCTACCAAGTGTACTCAGTCTATGTTTGGGATATAATGATGAACAAAAATAGGCGGATGTTTTTGCCTTCTGGGAGCTCCCCATTTAGTGTGTGTGTCTAAATTACTATTTTTAATCAAATGATCACACAAATAAATTGTTATTGTCAGTTGTGATATGTGCTTGAAAAGAAAGCTGGGCAGTACTATGAGTATGCATGCCAGTGCTTTCACTCTTAGTCTCAGATCAGGGATTTTGCTAAAGAAGAAAATTTGGGCAAAGATCTAAAGAGTGTCAACTGAGCAAAGAGGGGGAGCAAAGAGAACAGCATATGCAGAAGTCCTGTGGCAGAAGAGAGGTACATCTGGTTGTAAGACCTGACAGAAGGCCCCTGTGGCTAGAAGCAGAGAAAATTATGGTCTGAGACTGACTCTGGGGGTCATACTAACTCATGGGGCCTTTGAAGGCCATGCTGAGAAGCTGGTGTTTACTGAGCAACAAAGGGAAGAGACTGAAGGGACTTAAGCAGGAGAAGGAGAAGGGAAGGGGTGGAGGAGGATAGGGAGAGAGCCAATGAGATCATGATCAAATTTTCCTGTTGAAAAGATTTCTTTGGCTGCAGTGGGAGAACAGACTGGAACAAATGTGAGGAGACGGTCCTTAACATGCAGAGTGTGTGCCGTGTGCCGATTGTATTGTCAAGATCACAAGAACCCCGAGGCTTCTATTAGTGGTTTGCAAGACTGGTAATTCCTGAATGCTTTTGGAAAATAATTCTCTCCTTTACATCTAGTTCAAGAAACTTTTATGGGAGGTGGTATGAGGAGAGGAATAGGAATTGATTAGGAGTAGGGCCTCATAAAGAGGAGGGATGGAAATGGGATGATTTGGGGGAGACAGCTAAACAATTGAAAATCACCAGCTAAGTCTGTTATATGCCAGCTAGGTTGCTGAGGGGAGACGGACGTTGCAAAGCGAGGAGATTGTGTAGCTTGATGTAAACAGATTCCCGGCATTGCATCTAAATTCCAAACGTCTATGCTGTTTTCTCTCGTTTGGTCTAATGCACTAGCTTCCTATAGGTTTCCCCTGCTATTTCTTTTGCCCTTCTACAGTCCATTTTCTATACAGAGCCTGAGGGAGCTTTTAAAAATGCAAATCAGATCATGTCCTATCCTATCTGGAAACTCTTCGGTTGCGTCCCAGCGCATTTTAGAATAAAATCCAAACTCTTTGTCATGGCCTACCAAGCTTCAGTGTGATCAGGGCCTTGCCCACCTGCCTTGACTGCTTGTTCTCCACTCTTTCTCACCATGCACCCTGGCACTGGTTTTCTTTCTTTTTTTTTTAAAAAAAGATTTATTTATTTATGCGTACAAGAGCTGGGGTATAGGCCAGAGATGCGGGGGGTGAGAGGAATCACCAGAGACAGAGTGGGGAGCAGAACAGGTGGATCTACTGAAATACACTGCTGAGGGGAGCAGTGGGGGGACAGGAGAGGTCTGCTGTGCCATGTGGGTCACCTCCCTGGCCGGGGATCGAACTCATGCTGCAGTGACTATGGGTAGCTTCATTGTGCTGCATCTCAATCCTTTGCACCACCAGGGAGGCCCCGGTTTTCTTTCTTTTTCTCCATTATGGTTTACTCCTTCATGCTACAGGAAGCTTGTCCTCTCTGCTGGGACATTCTTCTAACCCAGACCTCCACTAACTCATTCCAAATATCACCTCCTCAGAGTGGCTTTCCATGGCTTCCACACCCAGTTACTCTCTTTCATACAATCCTGGTTTTCTTTTTTTTTTTCTTAATAGCACATATGTCTTAGCTGAAGTGTTCTTGTTTTATTTTCTTTTCAAATAGAAGTTTCATGAGGCCATATGGCACAGTGCTTGGTGTAAAATCGGTGCTCAACTGCGCGAGTAAATGAGCGACTCCTTGATATCCAAAGCCAGTGTGCCCCTCCTTGAGGCTCTCGTGGTCTAGTCAGGGTTAGCACAGAGCAACAGATGGCCATTGCTGGAGCACACGGATGCTCTCCCTCAGTGTGGCTGTGCTTGTGCTTGGGCGTTCCAGCTGGACGGTATCTCCCTTCACCTCTCATTCATGCTTCAGGACCCTTATCCCTCTGCCTAGGACATGTGGCACTTGTGCCTGAAAAAAGAATATTTTGTTTGAACTGCCACAGACCAGCTTCATCATTTATTATTCTCTGGTCATATCACTCCCAAGTGCTGTTACTTCCCCTACTTCATATTTCTGGAATGTTCATCTCTGCTGCTGAAAATGCATTGTTGTTGTTTCTTACGTAAATTTAAATTTTGTTGAGTGCTTGTTATGTGCCAGGCACTGTGCTAGGTGCTTGTATGCATCATTTCCTTTAATTCTCTCAATAACTTTGAGAGTTACGTGTTCCTGTTATTACTGTTTTCCAAATAAGGAATCCAAGATGTGGAGAAGTGAAGAAACTTCTAATGAGTAACAGAGCTGCCTCTCTCCAAAGTATTTAATCACACTGCATTGCTATAGTTTGTTTTTGACACCTTAGATCAGTGCCTGACTTGGAGGGCAGCACTTAATGGTGTTTGGGAAGATATGTGTGGCAAGGTACACAAAGATGTGTTCAAATCCTAACAGACTAGAATGAAAGAGGCCAGCTAGGAGGTCATTGGTGTAATTATTCAGGATGAGTTAATGAAGGCCTGCATTGTTGGATTTCTATGAGCTCTCTGGAAGCTATTGAAATTTTAGTAGTTGAACTCTTAAAGGGGGTAGCATTGGAAGGAAAGATCTGCAGACTTTGGGGGGAGCCCCCCAGGTTTGCAGTGGAGCTGGAACATCTTGTAGATCCGGAGCAATATTTTCAGAATTGAGCAGGAAGAAGTACTAGAGGAGACAGCCAGAGAAGTTGAAACAGTGTACACTTGAGCCCAGGGGTGCTAGGAGCTACAGGGAAGTTCAGGGAGGTGAAAGTGGCGGGGGTAGTGGGGGAGCAGGTGAATTTGGGCAATTACCAGGATTTTTATGTAAATCAGGCCTGCTTAGAGTGGAAAATTTTGCAGAAATCTTCAGAATAACAAACCCTGGTAAATGGGTGATAATTGGGAGGAAAGTCACACTCCATGTCTTCTGGGGGACCTGAAATACTTTAAGACAAGGGTTCCTAAAGCGATCTGGATGCTGGTACCCAATGACGGTGGCACCTGTTGGTGCTCAGCAAATATTTCCTGCAAGTAAGTGTAGGGGAGGCTCTGTAGATGACTTTTCTGCAGGTAGCAGTCTGTTTTACGCTGAGCAGTGAGTAAATATGTGCTAAATGTTTTTGAACAGCAGTATCAACCGTCACTGGTTTCTCTTCTCACTGCATTGTGGTGTGCAGCCCACACTCCACACTCTCCCAGGCCACACTCGGTGTCCTTTCCCTGTCTGGGAGTTGGGGAACCTGTGAGCCTTCTCTCTTCCTGGCTTTACCAGCTCTCGTGGGGGACCTTAACAGGAGGGGCATGGACTGTCCTGCCAAGCAGAGAATTGAGGCAATCTGGTGAAGAATTCAGGTTGCAAGTTTACATGCTTCAAAATTTGTAAATCGAAACTTATATCATGTTATGGTGCAATGTTCCTTCAACAAATTTTATTTTCTTTAGCTACTGTACTTAGCTCATGGTTTGCCTTGGCAGGGCAGACAGGGCCCCCAGTCAGTCCTGTCACTTTAGTAATCAGGACCCAGACTAGCAACTGTGTTTATTCTAAAAGTGCTGCTAGGTAACTGCAAAATATCTTAGATAGTGGAGAGGGTGGTTGTT